TTTTTTTTTTTTTTTTTTTTTTTTTTAATTTAGCGATTTTAATGAAGCACAATTTTTCGTTTGTTACCGGTAATATCAAGCTAGAAGCAGTCTTTGGATTTGCTTTGCTGGTCACTTCCAGGGTCCAGTTGCAGCTTTAGTGGCTACCTGATTTACAACCTTCGGAGCTAGTTGCACATAATCAAATTGTGCTGTGTAAGTGCTTCTCAAACTATAGCTTGCTGTGTGGAGAGGAGAACTCTCTTTGTTAGTGGATAACTCGGCCAACAACTTTTTTTTTTGCTGTTGGATAACTTTTTTCCGGTTATGGTGTGGGGCGCATGTCTTTTTTCACGGAGCAGCGTTCTGATCTTCTGGAGAGAGACTAATTGTGCACCGTGTACGTTTACGGCATTCCTCAGAACATACAATGAATGGATGCCCCTCTTACATTTCCAAGACGGTTTTTTTCTCACCCATTAATATTCTTCTGGCGCATCCGATATTTCCAGATCGTTGTACTTCTGAATTCGTAGTCTTCTCTGCTCCGGAGCTGTATTAGCCCAATTCTGAACATTGCTGGAAGATATAGGATACGCACCTCCCTTATGTCGCAAGGATATGAAAGCTGCAGAATTTTAATTGGCGGCGATAGCTTACTGACTTTAGTCTAATTTTGAAAAAAAAGATAGCTTACTCACTTCAGTCCAAATTTAAAGGATCCCAGAAACTAATGGAATTTTGAAGGCTGATTTTGGGCTCTCTACTTTGGTTAATATTGTAATTGGGCCGCAACCGTTTCATCTCGTTTCTTTGTTCGTACTCGAGCCTGCTATTTTAATAATATTTCAAAATAGGTTTTTTTGCTTAAAAAATACTCTAGGCTGGCAGTGAATTTGCTTTTGCTGTCGCTTGTACGGTTAAAACCTGAGTTCACAAAAACTGAGCTTTTTAGATTTTTTTTTAAGCTCATGAGTTAAATTATCTCATCAGACACATAGGTGCATATAAGCAAAGTACCGACGAAATGCGTTTTTACATGTTTCTTGCTCTTTTCCGGATGGTTTAAATTGAAATTTAGAAAAGCCAAAGGAATGAAATTTCTGGTTGATAATCTCTAACCACTCAAAAGACTACAAGCCCGAAATTATTTCCGAAATCACTGGACATTCTTGATCCTTATTTTAAAGTTTACTAACAATGTAAATTGAAAAGGATCGATCAAAGAACTGGAAATTTCAAATCTTTGGTCTGATACATAGTACTTGATAAATGGGCCGAGTCAGCCTTCATGATTCATCGCATTTTATTCAGTGAAATGAGTTTTCTATTTAGAATACTGAATGAAATTTCAAAACGCGACAGGTCATACTCTTGCAGTTTGCAATCTCAATTCATCTTTTTTTTGGATTAGTTAATATGAGATCAGCTTTTGAACCTCGGAATTTTTGGACTTGTGTTGCAAAATCCAGATGTTCTATGGTCCTTTTTTTTTGACGAAATTGAATATTTCTCTCTGATGAATATCGAAGTCAAAATCCTCCTCCCTATTCTCTCTCTGCAAGGGGCGGAGGCATATGGTAAGTAGCGCAAGTGGTAAAAAAAAATGCCAGCAGCAGACGAAAAAAAAAATGCCAACGCTGTCTCTCGGACGTATTTGTGGCAGTTTATCTGGCTTTGGCGTTGAAATGTTGGCATGTACCATTATTTCGTGCTGCACAGTTCTTTTCCAGGAAATCGAATCAGAAGAGAGCGACTATTTCGAACATTTGTTGGTAATCACACTTGTGCCATTTTTGGCAAGTAGTAATTATGGTAATACTGAATGCTGAACAACGAGAAGCTGTTGTTCGGAATGGTTTGTATAATCCGGAACTGGAAAAAGATTCATGTGGTGTTGGCTTCGTTGCATCTGTTCGCGGTATTGCTACTCATCAGGTGACAAAATTTCTTAAAATTATTTTTTTGAAATTTTACTGCTCAGCGCCCATGCACTGAAGTCACGCAGCTTCGGATCGAAAGGTCTGGCGTAGGTGAAAAGTACCTATTTCCTGTACCAAAAATCACTAAATATTAATTTCTCTAGAACAAGCACTTAATTACACATATCTTTGATACATATGCTTTCGTCTGCAATCATTGATTGAAAATTAGCTATTTTTTTCCTGTAGTTAAGCGTTCAAATTCGCTTTCTTATAAGTAACAGAATACAAGCGGTGAACCTTTTCCCGCTCGTTCAAAATTTCAGCAAAACTAATTTAGCATTTTTCATATATTTATGAATTTATTATTTTTGAGGGTTGGCGAAATCAAAAAGAAGATCTTCTCTGGCAGCTGTACTAAATCTCTTTAAATGGGCAGCTCACAGTAATTAGCTGTTATCATCGAGATTATTTTGAACTTCTTGATAGAATCCTGTTACAAAAGACATTCGTGATGGGCTAAAAGCGTGCTTATTTTTTAGCATGGTATAGAGCTGGAAAAATTAATGAATTTTTCTTGGAAACATCGAAGAAATTTTAGATTTTGAAAGATGGGCGAACAATGCTGGAGCGGTTGGCACATCGTGGAGCGTGCGCATGCGATAACGATTCCGGTGATGGGGCTGGCGTGATGACTGTTATTCCAGATGCACTTTATCGAAAAGAACTTAAGAAGTGACTCAGATTTTTACTTGTTTTTACTAGAAATTACAATATAATCTAGTCATGTCCATCCAACTGTCGGCGAATTACTCGCATTTTTGACTACTGGGTCTTTTGAAGCTCGGTCTTCTTTCCAGGCTTCGAAACTCGGCGTTTAAATACTTTTTATTTTCTGAATCATTGCTTCTCCGGCTCGTTATTTGGTCCTGAATTATTACAGATTTCTTGCTGTCGAGACGAATTTTTATTTTTAACGTTTTTTTTTTGTCCACAGGACTGCAGTTGTGTGTTGGGAATGTTGTGAACTGCTGCTACAGCAGTTCTGTTTTAGAAATTTGCAAAAATAAAATTTTTTGAAACTTTTATTTTTAAAAAAATTTAGCCTGCCTTTTTATCTGAACAAATGAGCGGCCTTAATGAAATGATTATTCTCTATCTGTAGTTCTTCTTTTGGTGGAACTGGGCCTTAGCACTGAAAAACAAAAAAAAGCTCTGAGCTCGTGAGACAGTATCGGAAAAAAATGTTTCGGGCTTTTGGGAATCAAACTTATACTGTGTAACTGATTACCAGTATTAGTAATTTCTGACGCAAACTGGGCCTTTTGGCTGGATTCAGAGCCCAGAAATTTTGGCACGAATGGTATTGCTGTGAGCAGTAAAAAATCTCGAGCTGAGATGGGATGCGTAAGGAAAAAGAGGCAAGTAGAATATATGAGAAGTCGAAAATTATCACTTTTTTAAAATTTTAATTTACATCTAAGCCCTGTTTTCCAAGAATGGATTTTTAGTTTATTTCCACGGAATTTAAGTTAAGCGCACCTATCTTTATTGTTCGATCAACGGTGAGAATTTTTATTGCAGCAGCGAAGAGGCGATTGAATTACCTGCAGTTGGAGAATACGCAACTGGTCTGCTATTCTTGAATAATGAGTCGTGTGAACAAGCAATGGAGGCATTCACTGATTTAGCGAAAGGATGTAATTTGAAAGTTATTGCTTGGCGTAAATTACGAACAAATGTGAAAGAAATTGGGGCTGAAGCTCGGAAAACAGAGCCTTGCATACGACAGGTACTGCTTCAGTGATTTTCTAGGAGTTCTGAGAGCTTAATTCAGTTTATGTGTTGTTTTTATACGAGGTCCGTTTTTAGAATATATTCATTAGTTTATAATTTAATTTTTGGTATCTAGTCCTAAAAATGGTGTCTACTCTAATAAATAATAGTATTTATGTTATATTTAGTTAGCAGTTTCCTTAAATGGGCACTTTCTCTACGGAGCTCGCTCGCTACGGAGTGTATGCAGGAGGTGCGTGATGATAGTTGTTGCGGTAAACTGTGACCAAGGAAATCCAGGAAAAATGCACCGTACGCTGTTTTTTACTTTTACCTCTGTGCCCTCGCATGTTGCAGTTATTTGCTCATTTCTTCGGGCCTATTTACAAAATTGCACCAAGGACCGAAATTTCAGAACCGGAGCTTAGCTTTTAAATTTATCTGGAGATATCTAAAATGATGCGATTAAGAAATAGGACGCATCAGTGGCTCCAAGGAGTTCTTTTTTTTTTGAAGCGAGTTGCAGCTTATTAGACACATGCGAGTCGGAGCCCTTTCGTTTTCGGCCGCTTGTCGTTGTTGCGTGATTCCATCAACCGCACAGTTGAGGTCATTAAAGAAGTCAGAGATACAATAACGATGAAAATTTTAGGTATTTGTAACGGCACCATATGCTGGCACGGATACGGGATTGTTTGAGCGTAACGTTTATATCCTGAGAAAGCAGGTCGTGGTGCAGTTGGCCAAGCAGAAGATTGAATGCTACGTTGTATCGCTTAGCACTTCAACAATTGTTTATAAAGTAAATACAAGCATTTTGTTATCATTCTCTCAGCCTAGTTATTGTAACTGAGTTGATGTGCGAGTATGGCCTAACAGAATCGCGAAAAATCAAGGGCGCATTGCTCCCATTGTTGCTCCTTCTGCATCTTCGTTATTATCACTATCAGCTGGAATTCTGATAGTAAACAGCCAATTCGTTGCTTTTTTGAGCTCTGACGAAAACACTTGAATTCCAAAACGAAGACGTCTGTGGATGTATCGAAGTGGAACTGAATGTTCTTAGAAGTTCTCTTTGCTTTTAAGACATGTGAAGTAGGTTGACACCGGCCATATGCAAAAATTTAAGGTGATGATTTAAAATAATTTAAAATATTCTGAAGGGCAGGAGGTGTACTGAAGATGGATTATTTAGAAATAAGTTGCAGATAGTAAATGTAGTTAACAAAAAATAGAAGAGCAGAATTCAGAAATAAAAATTTTTAAAATAAAATAAATAAACCAGAATATTTCAGTACATTAAGTCGGATGCATTCCTATTTTGTATGCATCAAGACTTATACTTTAGGGGCAGTTCACTCCGAACCAGCTTTACCGATACTATTTGGATTTAACAAATCCGGAATACGTCTCCCACATGGCACTAGTGCACAGTCGTTTCTCGACCAACACATTTCCGTCGTGGTGCCGGGCACAACCAAACCGGTTTGATTACATCTTGATTATAACTTAATATGTAGGAGTTATTTCTCCCACGTAAGCTAGCTGTGGCAGTCCATTTCGGTCTAGAATCGGCATGCGCTTTATCTTGTAACATGACGAATTCAAGCGC